CGAAATCTTGATGAAATCTTTGTGAAATCTTCAGAAATCTCGACGAAATCCTTGAGAAATCTTTAGAAATCTTGATGAAATCCTCGGGAAATCTTCAGAAATCTGGATGAAATCCTGGGGAAATCTTCTGAAATCTCGATGAAATGCTGGGGAAATCTTTAGAAATCTCGATGAAATCCTTGAGAAATCTTTAGAAATCTTGAGGAAAATTGGATGAAATTGTCAGAAATCTCTAGTAAATCTTTGAAAATTTTGAGAATGCTAGAATGAAATCAGTGTGAAATGTTGATTGAATTCTTGTGCAATCGAAACAGATTCAGCCAACTTCTGATGAAATCCGACTGTATTCTGTCGGAGCCTTAAGTTATCAGGCGTTTCTCTGTGAAAGGATCCTGGTGGTTACGGCATTATCCGACAAACAGTTCCGACAGGATCCGATCGGATCCTTTCCGACGTAATCCGGTCCGGAATCCGTTAGTTAGGAATCCTGTGAAATACGGTTGGGTTCCGATCGGATTTAGTTGGGAACCCGACGAATTCCGGTGTGATTCGACATCGGATCCGATAGTTTCCGGTAGGATCTACAGGTCGGATTGAATCACCTGGGTGAGCATGTTTCATTATCAAATTTCGTACAATTTCATGGTGTTCTGATGCTTGACAATTGTATTTCAGAACAGATTAACGATGTGTCATATTTATCTGATGATGATCAAAGTTCAGGCGAAGATGTTTTTTTTGGTTGACATGAGACAAGAAATTTAATGTTGAATTCATTTCTAGTCTCCAATCATTCTTTTTATATAGACATATTTGTTTGTTTTATTTGGTAAAGAATAATTACATTCTTAAACTTGATGAACATCGAAGGTTCTCTTCGATTTCACTTATAATGCGAATGATATATCAAAAGAAATTTATCTACGGAAGAAACAACAAAAAACATTTCTGAGTGATATAGTAATGATTGCTGATGATCATCGAATTTATATCGATGAAAAATAGACATTTATTTTTAAGAGAACACTTTCGTGGAAACGAGCATGATAATAAATAATTTTTTTACAGCATCATATGAATATTATTCTAATTTGACCTAAGGAAGTCCCATTAAGCTATCATGCTTGTAGCTTCTTACAAGAGATACTTTTTACATAAACATTCAGCCAGTTAAATCATCGAATTTATTATGATACCTGTGTTCTCTGCATTGAAAGATATTAGCATGAAAATATTCTGTGAATCTATCATATACAAAACATTTCGATTGTTAAGCAACACAATTAAAAATAGCATCGACTTAAATTGTAGTTATCATTTTGATTTCGATTGAAACCATTCCTAGTCCTCATTTTTACTCTCAATCTGGATGTTTGTCCTAATCATTTTCAATAAATTAAAAGCAAATCATTCCTCTCATTATTTTTCTTGTTCTATTCATGCATTCAAATTTGCAAAATCAGACATGTGTACGTATTTAAGTCCTTCGTTTATTGCTTATTCACTATTCTTGAATAGTGCACTACCCTGATAGAATTCTACTCTGTTCTTCATGCATTGGAAGGAATATTGTCTAATCAACCATTGTATTTATTTAACCGACAAACATCAATATTTGCGTCTCTATCAACGTACTTCTTTAGACTAACTCGGTAACTGACTTTTTATCGATGTCTTTTTTAAACTAACCGATAAAGTTATTCCCTCGACTGAAGGGAGGGTCATATGAAAAAAACTCAAAATGGGTTTGTGTGTTTGTTTGTTTGTTTGTCGGGGTCAAAAAAACATTCGGATCAAAAGAACATTCTACCGTGCACTCATACTTTCACTATGACCCATCAGCAAACCAGGGATTTTCGAGGCTGGGTTATCCACCCATCATATTTTTTCGCTTGGCGGAATCAGCCAATCAGGGGTTTTCGAGGGTGGGCTATCCACCAATCATATTTCTTCGCTTAGCGGAATCAGCCAATCAGGGGTTTTCGAGGGTGGGCTATCCACCAATCATATTTTTAGGCTTGGTGGATTCGACCAATCAGGGGATTTTGAGGGTGGGCTAGGGTGTGGGTGTGGGTG